CCCCTGGTTCAAAACCATCTTTAGAGGCCCTAGCACGCCATTTCTCGACCTGCTCTTTCATTTGAGCCCAATAAAACATTCATATCTTATCTGACATCTCTACTACGAACTCGGGTCTTCAACTCGGGTCTTCAATTGAAACATTGTTCAGTGGGGTCTAGGGGTCTTCCCTGGTTCAAAATCATCTTTAGAGGCATCAGTACGCCATTTCTCGACCCAGAAAAAATCGCCAGCAATTTCCAACCGGGTGAGGCTCAGCCGCCGTTGACTCAAAATCAAACATTGAAATTTTTCTTTTAAAATTCCGTCAATGGAATTCCATTAATTACTCTTCTATAAAATTATATAAATTCACAGCGAGTTTATTTGCATTCTCAATTTTATTAAACCATTCAATGATATTAGATTGATGTCTCAATTCAAATGAGACTGCGCTACGCAGTGTTAATTCAAAAGAGTCTGCTTGGGATACATATGCGTTTAATTAACAGTGGAAGTTTGAACGGAGCCCCCCGGGGTTCCGGCATCGGCCGTGTAGTGGTTCAGCAAGTGAGTCAGTGGTGGGGGAGAGTTGTCAGAGTGTGAAATAGCGGGTAAACACCGGTAAACGAGGGAACAGTCACGGCAAACAGTTTTGATACTGAAAAAGCCAACAAATACGATCTCACATAGGTAAATATGGAAAAATTCAATTATTTTCGCCATATTATTGAATCCTGAGCTGATTTTCTCCACTCGAGCAGTGCAGTGGGCGTTTTATATCTGGAAATTGTACAATGTTTACTTTATAGGTTATATCTGAGATACAATGCCGCGTAAACCACATAGTGGAATCAACCTGGAATGGGCAGAGCCAGAGGATGGTGATCGCTGTGACGAAGAGATCATGGCACAAGAGGAGGACGGCGAAGACGAGGATTCAGAACTCGTGCAACCTCGACCAAGCACTCCCACGGATAATGAGAGTGACCAATCAGACTGTGATATTAGCAAAGTGGAGAGTTCCGAGGAGAACGACAATGACAGGTCCAAATCATCAAAGAGCACCCACCGAACTCAGTACGTTTTTAGTAAAAATAAATCGACAAAGTGGACACTGTCACCACCAGCTCAGGTGAAAAAAAAGAGGCACAATCAGGTGTCTCGTTTACCAGCAGTGAAAAACACTGCGAAAGATTCCCTAACCCCCCTGGAATGTTGGGAATTATTTTTCCCAGAGGACACAATTGACAAAATGGTGTACCACACAAATCTCTATCTAAATAGAATTCGAGGTGCTTTCGAGCGTGAAACAGATGCTCGTGCAACTGATGCCATTGAAATGAGAGCTCTCCTTGGTATACTGTACATGTTGGGTGTGCAGAAGGCTGGTCACTTAAATTTAAAAGAGATATGGGTTACAGATGGCACAGCCCCTGATTTTTTTCGCGCTGTCATGAGCCTCAAGCGATTTTATCAGCTGCTTTCAGCCCTCAGATTCGACGACTTGAGTACGAGGAAGGAAAGGATCGAGGTGGACAGACTAGCACCGATCAGAGAGTTCTTTGAAGAGTTCAACGAGAAATGCCAGAGCCACTACACACCTGGACAGAGTGTAGTCATTGACGAGATGTCCGAGAGCTTCAAGGGACGATGTAACTTTCGACAATACATGCCCACCAAGGCATCAAAGTATGGACTGAAGATCTATGCTCTGGTGGATGCTCAAATGTTTTACACGGTGAAAATGGAAGTGTACGTGGGGAAACAGCCAGAGGGGCCTTACAAACTACCCAGCACCAGTCAGAGTCTTGTCGAACGACTCGCTCTCCCAGTATTGAATTCTGGACGTAACATCACCACAAGTCAATCCTTTACATCACTGGCGTCGACTCTCTCCCTCCTGAGGAATTATCGAACTACTTTGGTCGGCACTATCAAGAAAAACAACGCAGATGTACCTCCTGAACTCACTGCTGTGCAAAAGAGGCCAGTCTCCAGCAGCCTCTTCTGCTTCACAGATGAATGCACCTTGGTGTCGTATGTGCCCAAGAAATCAAGGAATGTGCTGCTGTTGTCGTCGCTACACCACGATGACAAAATTGATGAGGAGACTGGCTCACGTCAGAAGCCAGAGATTATGACGTTCTACAATGCCACTAAGGGAGGTGTGGATGTTGTTGACGAGTTGAAGGGTAATTACTCGGTGAATAGAGAGACTCGTCGCTGGCCTATGGTTGTTTTCTACGGTCTCATGAACATTGCTGGGATCAATTCACAAATTATTTATCGAGAGAACACTGGTGCCAAGATCACTCGTCGTGCCTACTTGAGTGACTTGGCTAAGAGCTTGGTGTTACCTCAGCTCAATAGACGCTTCACCATACGTACTCTGGGCCCTGAATTACGGGGAGTCATCAGAAAGGTGGCGCAAATACCGAATGAGGTTCTGGAGTTCGATGATGGACAGACTCAGGGATATTGTCCTTATTGCCCAAGACGTGCCAACAAGAGATCGAAGAAGAGATGTCACATATGCCACAAGTTCATTTGCCCTTCTCACACGAGTTATACGTGCGGAGCTTGTGAACAATCCCGTTTCACGGAAGAGGAGAAAATCAAAGAAGAAGTGGAAGATTTGTACGTTTAAAATGAGGCAGGGGCGAGTGGAGCGAAATGGATACGTAAGACTTTTTTTTAATCTTGTTACGTTAGTCAGTTTGTGATGAAGTGGGATAATTTTTCGTTATTGGCGAAGTACAACTCTTCCCCTTTGTGAGGAGTCTAGACTGAACACAATTAACGAATTTGTTTCTGAGTTATGAACATCGGAAGAATAATAAGTGGCCAGTTTGTTCGCCCTCCCCTATGTACTTTTTACCATCGATTACATTCTGATTGATACAAAGAAATGAGAGAAATATTTAGCGAGGAGATTCTGCGACGACAGTAGAACTTCCGAGGAAGTCATTAATTTTTTAATATTTTCTATGATAAGTATTGAGTATTTTCTAAGAGAACGCTTTTATGAAAGCGGTTGAACAGTAGTGATGAGTGAAGAATCGGTTGGAGTCAATTGTTGCTTATGAAAAAAGGTCTTTCCCGAAGATTTACACGAGAGAGATTTGTTTCCCACTCGTTCTTTACTAATATTCTGACAAACTTTGAATTTTTTTTAGAAATAGTTCTCATTAAAGAATTTCACATCTGAAAATATAAGAAACATTTTTTGAATCACCATTTGTGCTTCATTTATTGTCGAAATATTCTGATAGTGTGTTCGTGTATGATTATAACAGTGAGTGGGAGGGAGGGAGGCGTAGATGTCATGATGCTAATCGGTAAAGAATTCTAGTAAGCCATGTGGGCGCCACAGTGGATGGGGACGCAATGCGCTTATGGAAAATGGGAAGAGTGGGGGTAGACTAGATCCATGCAGCGGATCCTTAGAAATTTATATTCACAGAGTCTTCACTTTGTCTTCCTAATTCGTTATCATTCAATTTTCAAATGGTCCGTACGTCCAAGTTATGCGAAGAATCTTAAATCTTGAACTTTCATTGAATTGTGCAGTATAAATCCTTAGTCCTGATATCTGTATTTTGCAATTCATCCAATGATAGACAAGAAATTTGACTTTTTTCATTACAGTTTCCGGTGGTAAATAAATCTGTAATTTTTTACTCCTCATATGAATATGAAAATTATTCTGGGCATAGATAATCCCTCCAATGATAAATGTCCAAAATCTCGAAGGTCTCAGTCAATTATTTGACTGCCAAATGACCCTTCGAAAATTCGTCGGTTTCCTGTTAAATGAAACCGACGAGACGAGCTTAAACTGCAATTCCCGAAGCTCATGCGAGACCGAGACGAGACAAGACCGAGTTGAAACGATATTGTAGCGAGACTGAGGCGATCCCGTGGGCAGCCTTATGCACAGCATATGTAACCATGACTATTCATATTTGAGTACTGATTATCCGTATGTTTCTATTTAGAAACGATCAAGGCGATAAGTCAATTTTTTCGATTACCCCGACGGTTTAAATTGCACAAGAATCAATAGATAAGTCGCAATCATCGCGAATATCTAAAAGCAGAAATACAGTATTAGATACAATGAAACATCTCTTCGACTGATCGACGGGAGATTTTGAGAATTACTTACTGAATGCAATAGTGTACAGTCTAATGTAAAAAGGCCGCAAGCATTGAACGAGACTTTTTTGTGTAACAACTCAACAGCGAAATTATTCAACAACAACTCAATATCCTCGTTTGTTCCATGGGACTCCATCAGGTCATATACAATCTCTGCAGTCTGCTCCGTCTAGGATAGAAATATTCATGAATAATTGTCTGACGCAGTTTCCGAATAAATTTTCTTTGAAGTACACGGAGAAAAATATTTGGTGAATTTCAACAACTAGTTGTTGAAAAAGAGAATTACCAATTAGTTATAAAATTTCAATAACTAGTTGGTGAAATTTAATAACTAATCAATTTATTTTGAATTCTTAACAACAGAGTTACCTGAAATTTCAATGAGAAAAAAATTCCAAGGAGTTCACAGGAAGTTTCAGCCAAAAAAGTTTAACAGTATTATCTACAAAAAGTAACCAGCTTGAACTTCTCATTCAATGAATTCCATCAATTTTAACTACCAAACTAGATGGTGAGAGCATAATATACATTTGGAAACAATCCTGCAATCACTTGGATGTTAATAATCGATCAATGTTTCGCCTAGAGGATATCACAATAATCTACAATTTGTTGTTAAATTTCAGTAGCGAAGTGGTAAACCGGTATAAGTTAATTTTGACTATTTGCCAGTTTCCAATAAATATCTCGGAATCTAAGGGAAATAGCGAAATTGTTGTGATTTCCGTTTTTGTAGAGCAAATTGACAGCTACAAAAAAGGTTATAACAACAATTTGGCTATTTCGCTTAGATTTTGAGATTTTCATTGAAAACTGGGCAATAGTCAGAATTAACTTATACCGGTTTACCACTTCACTACTGATTTGATCCATCAAAAAAATTGACGAACATTTATCGAAAATTTGACAAATGGTTGTCGAATGCAATTGAAAAATCATTTCTGAATTTTAATTTATTAGTTAATAATAGGTTGTTAGGTAATTTCACCGTTGGTAAATTTCAACAACTATAGTTGGTAAAATTCACCAAATTAACTTTCACCGTGTAATACAAACCTCCGCATGAAATCTGTTGACACTCGTACTCAAAATCATGATGGGATACAAGTTCAGGAGGACGCAAAATATGAAGCCAGCTAAGTCATTATCATCACCGTCCTTTCCCGGTCGCATCACGGTCATAACATAAAAATAAGTCGTATCGACACAGCAACAGCAGCAATAAAAAATGACAAGTAAAACTGGGAAAGAATAAAATCCGGAGACTTCGCGGGAAAGTTTAAGAACGCAATTGCGTGCGTGTTTGATCACTATTAGATTTTCAACAATCAAACTATTACTCGAGACACTCCTCCGAAAAAGTGCATCCTCTGTGAAGACAACCGGGTATGCAGCTGTAGCAAGAAGAGAATCATTGAGCCCTCTAAATCGATCTTCAAGAACATGAATCACTAAGCTGTATTGTAATAATAACCAACTGACGAAGACTTCACTCAAACCCGAGGTAACGATATAGATTATTCCTTGTGGTAGCATGGATTCTGTTACTAACACCCCAATCCAAATGAAGATCATAAGTGTAATTGTGATGAATGTTTTCGAGATTCCACCCATATTGACACTTCTCGCATTCAGTTTCGTACCGTATATTTTATCGAATTCATGCACTTGATTGCCAATCCTGATAATATTTCTCTGGAGAATCAAATAATAAAGGATTATCACAGCAGCTATAACGTTGCCCATTATAGCAAGAGCTAATCCAATCGTCTTTCCAATTGACGAATCATTTGGATATGGTACATCATTCAAACGTGGCACACCTCGAGTGATTATTCCGATACACAAGGCGATCAGTAGTATGTGGTAGAAACATTTCACTCGTGAATACGAAAATAAGAATGTAAATCCACTTTCTGGGGTTGAAAGAGTTGAGATTTGTATGCTGCACGGCGCTAAACCGAGTAGAGTTGATATTACATGAGTAATTTCATACATGATAAGAGAAATTTTCGGATAGGGATGTTTTGAACTCATTCTGCCGAATGTCATACTTCAATGAAGGCTACAATGTTTTCAATGCTCTTGTCAATATTCCTGAAGTGATGAACACTGCCATGATTGCAATCTCCTAATGGATGAAAGCGTGTATCAGTGATCAGTGTGAAAATCAAGATTCTCGGTCATCGCTCGCGCCAAGTTCAAACGCACTCTTCTTTCAACGCCAGATAGTCGTTTTTTGTCGATATAGAGACGCATTATCTGACGTTCTCTAAATGAGTTAGTCTTTTGGGAAAATGTTTACATCAATTATTCATTGGGATATCAACTACTTCGCTAAAACCTAATCCAAGTTATGGAAAAAGTTCCAACACTTCGTGAGTCTATGTTAGTCGCGTTGATGTGCTTTCACCGCGCGAATAATTTTCTATTGATTGTTCGTACGTTTTCCACTCAGGAATAATTAATCATAATGAGTAATGAATGAAATGGTCACTCGTTTTTTGTATCACTCTCTGCTGGTTTGAATTGCGTAAGGATTAACAGATTAATTCCAATTATTTCCGATGTTTGAAAAGAAACTTACAATATTGCATTAATTGGTTTTTTGAAGGATGGACGAGACATTCAGAACATTTTTTACGGTTGTAATAGAGTGGTACTTCAATCAAGGACACAAAATGTACTTGGGACGTGTATTTTTAGAACTTTTCAAAAGTGAACTTCCCCTCAAGTAGCAGTTTCTACTGGTGAGAAGTAATTTTTTTTGGGTGATATCTGTGCAGTTGTTGATCCGGGAGTGCACCGTGGGGATGTAATTGAGCTACAGTTCAATGTGGATGGTGTGAATGTCTTAAACTCGAGCTCGAAGGGATTCTGGCCCATTCATTCCTTAACTGTTAACGAATATTTCGTCTCTCGTTTCGTCTCGTCCGTATTTATTTGGTCATATTCAACTCTGCCATGCGTTAATAGTTAACGAATCTCGTTTGCAGTGAAGGAATCATTTTTTTTCTCATTCCGCCCGTAAGGCAGCGTTTCACGGACGCCCCGCATCCATGAATCTCTGCCTACGGCTGTCATGACAAAAAATATTGTTCGTCATACGGCCAAAAAAAACTTTTATGACGAATATGATTGCAGCCCTCGCCTTCGGCTCGTGCTATCACGAATAATATCTACCGTCACTTCCCTCTGGAATGAAAATATTGTTCTTGAATTACACGAAAAAAAAATCAATTGAAAGTTATACATACTTTCACTTGGAATGCATTCTCATTTGCACTCAGCAGATGACGGCTATACGATCACAAGGATCTCATTCTGTTGCAGTATCAGGTGGTTTGAACTGCAGGAGAATCATCAGGTATGTTACAATCATACCAAAAATCTTTATTAACAAGGATACATCATTCATCTCAATGAAGAATATGTTATTCATGTGATTATTGTAAAATATAAAGGATTCTTACTGAATGTAAGAGAGTACAATCCAGAGAGAAAAATCCAAACGCTGTGAATTCCACTTTCTTGTGAACTAATTCCAGTGCAAAGTCGTGTAACTGCAACAATTAAACGTTCATTTAATGCCTATGCAAAAGTGGATGAATCCAACTTTTTCTGTAAATACCTGAGCTACAAGTTCTTCATTCGAAGCATTGGCTTGTCTGACGTCATATAGTATATCAGTTGTTTTATTTATCTGCAAAATTTCAGGAATTTAACGAGGATGAAGTGCTTGTATATGATTTTAGTCATAAATTTTTCATACTTCAGCGTTGAATCGTTTGACAGTATTAGTCAGCACCACAACAGGATACCCATACAATGCCAACAAAGAGAGACCGTCCAGTATACAGACGGTAGGTGAGATAGAATTTAAAAAAGTGCTCTCTCTATGTTTGAAGTTAATTATGGAGAAATAAAGAATACTGATACAATTGCCGCAACAATTGACGATAGTTAATAACACTGGGAATGAATAAAAATGAGAAATTTGACAAGAAACTTTGTAAAGCGCATGTCGTGTTTCCCGGATTCTGATGAAATTCTGTATAATCAATCGGGTTTTCGCGATGTTTCTCGGAAAGCCGGAAATATATCGGAATTCCTCTGGGACTTTCACTATTGTATAGAAAGACCGATTGAGATCTTCGAAATTATCTCTGAGAACATTGACGATCAAACTGTATTGCATGATGAAGCCACTTAGCAATATTGCAGATAATACGAATGAGATAAATAAAAATATTTTCGATCGTACGAGCTGACCAACAGAAATGCTCACCCAGATGAGTACGAATGAAGAGATTATGGTGACGTAATAGAAAATTCGAGACTTTTTGGCGACACATGGAGACAAATTGGACTGAATTTCGCTCAGTTGGTTCCCGATTTTCACAATACGCTTCTGATGAATACAGTAAATTAAAGCTGTGATCACTACGAAGACATTGCCAATCACTGACATTGTTAGGTCTATTACCACTATGAATTCGGAATAATGGAGATCATACTCTTTAGAGATGTATGGCAGGCAGGCAATGGTGAGTACAGAGAAGATGATGATCAACAAAATATTGTATGCACATCCCGATTTTGAATACGAGAACTTGGTAATGTATTTGATATCCTTTGATGAAGAAATTGCAATGTCAATTTTACAAGGGGCCAATCCCAGTACGAAAGAAATTATTTGAACCACTCGAAATGTGGCCAAATTGATTTTCGCATCTCTCGGCTCATAGGTCATCTTGTTGATGGAGTGTTGCTGTGCGCACTGCCCCAATGCAATGACGATCCTTCGAGAATTGATATGGAATTAAGTGGATGAACAATTCTGTTGATGCTTCTATGGATTTTTGTTTGATGACGCCGTAATGGAATGAAGTATCGATCCATGACATTTCGAATGGAATTGTACTAACAAATGATAAGAGCCGTTGTTTGTTGATACTACACTGAGAGAATATAAAATAAACAATTACTATGTGAACAAGGTGTTAAAAACGCTTTATTTTTTTTTACCAATTTTTACTATTAAATGACGAACAATTACTCAAATCGTATGAATTTTTACGATGTTAAATTATAATTTTTTCACACCCCTGCACGGAAAGTTCGTACTTTCCTCCCGCTTATCAGAAAGCAAAATACAAAGTTTTCTTTGCAGGCGTGTTAAAAAATAGCATGGCCCCTCGGGCGGAAGAAACATGACTTTCCGTCCTTGGTGTACAATATACCATTTTCTTATGATTTAAAACTTTAGTTTACACTCTCGGGCCTCCTACAATTTACGCGAAGAAATTGCAGGAATCACTATGTTGACTAGTAAAAACTCCCGCGGACGACTAGAGCATTGATTGTTTTCAATTCTTGGAATCTCCTCCCTCCATCGACCACCCATTGGTCCGGGTGGCTTATACTATAATTTAAAAAAATTAAATTCTTCCTCTTCCCCCTCCTCTTTTTTAGAATGAATATACGTGGAGCAAAATTATTGATAATCATTTCCAAGGATGAGAAAGAGGATTAAATATGGGTTTTCACTCCGATTATTCAAAAAATCCCTCTCTCCCTCGTCCTTTTCCGCGAACATTAAAAATAATCATCATTATGATGGAAATATGTGCTGATAGCTATAGGACTGTTATACATATGAAGAAAAAGAATGGAATTAATGTTGCGAATAACAAATATAAATAATATAATGAAAAAAAAATTAAATTGAAAACAAACAAAATACTAAACGAAACAAATCAGTGAACTAAATAATGAATGAAAACTAATTTACGATGAAGGAAAACAAAATTGTAATAATGTAAATAATTTATAACATTCATTTGTAATAATTATGTCATATATAGTTTTTTATTAGGATTATGTTATATTTTGGTTTTCTCTTAGGAAAAATTTGGATCTCAGGGAAATAATAAATTGCTTCTAATCTAATCTAATATTCATTTTGGGGGAGAAGGGGATATTTGTTTAACCGATGAAGTAAAAATTCATGTCTATTGACCTGAATCTTACTCGTGTCAATTGAAAATTTAACTTTTATGCTACCATTTTCTACTACACCGACTCTGAACTCTTACTATGTTCAAGCGTAGTTTTCCAAACGGACTCCATCATATTATAATTTTGTCAGCTGTATTTTTTATCCAGCACGTAATTTTTCATTTATTCTCAACATTATCATGTTAAATGGTAAATTTTTAGTGTGGCGGGTAGAGTCCTGCATTCTATTTCTCATATTCAGAATTACTATGGTCTCACAGTAAAACATAATTTTATATTCATTCTGTGTGTTAAAGTTATATTTCAGTGTTGAAGTTCTAGTCTTGCATCACGTCTTTCGGCTTGAATTGTAGCATAATCAGTAGGTATGTCACAAATGCACCAAACATCTATCAAAAAATGGACCAATCACTAATGAATACCGTGAGACATCATCAATTAATTTGCGGATTATTTATCAGAAGTATTTCTTACTGATTGAAGAAGTGTACAGTCTAGAGAGAAGAATCCGCATGCAGTGAATTCAACTTTCTTGTGCTTTACCTCCAGCGCAAAATTATTCAACTGAAAAATACATAGATATGAAATTACTAAAATGTATTGAGAACACAGCAAAAACGCATGTCTAAATTTCACACGCCTTTTATAGACATTGTTCAGACACTAAAAAACATTTGAATAAAATAAAAATTTTCCGAATTTCAAACACAAATTACGATGTTTAGGTACCTGTTCATCTCGAAATTCAAGGAAAATTTTCATTTTATTCAGACATTTTTTTAGTGTCCCAAAAATGTCTACAAAAGGTGTGTGAAATTCAAACATTCGCTTTTGCTGCGAATGACTTAACAAATTACTTAAATACCTGATACTCTACTTCTCTGTTGGACGCGGACGTGTCCAAAATATCATAAACAATATCAGCTGTTTTATGCATCTAGAAAAATTTCACCTTTCACCGAATACAGATAGACTACAGAATACAAGTCTTCCAATGAATTTACACGTACCTCAATATTGAATATATGCACACTTCTGCTCAAGGCAATAGTAGGATATACGCATATGAAGAACCAGAATAAAATATTCAAGCCGTGATGGTGCAGTATAAACTGATCGACTTGCACTACGTTGAGGAGAAAGTAGTAAGCTGTGTTGATAGTAGCGCAACAACTGTAGAATATTGTCAATAAGATGGGGAAAGAGTAAAACTCCGAGGTGAGACAAGAAATTCTGTACAGCTCATTCCGTGCTTGTCTAAAAGCTACGAAATCATTTGTAACAAAACGGTTATTCCAGACATTCTCAGCGAATGGGAGACTTGGAATGGGGCATTTGAAAATTTTTGGAAGTACCGCATTGAGTCGCTTGAATCTTCCTCTCAGATTGTCGACAACGGAGCTGTACTGTATGAGAACGGAACTCAGAACTATAACATTGAGGAAACTTGCAATACATGCAGGTGATTGTTCATCGCCTACTGAGGTGCTGACAACTCCAGACCAGATGAATGTGAATAGAAATATTGTCAGCCAATGCCGAAGATTTTTCAATCTATTTGAGTTGCTTTCATCAAACGCACGGAGGAATTTGTTTCCATAGGTTGCATCGAATTCACTGAATTTATTTCCAATAGTAACACTCTGTTTTTGATGGAGAGTGTAATGAAGAATCACTATTATCGAAGCTATACTTCCAATCATGGTCTGAATAGCGACGATTATCGAGAGCACTGAGTGATCACCATACTGCCATGCTATCAAACGCGGTGTGACAATCAGAGTCATTCCAACAAATACGAACATCAATAAGATATTGTATGTACATCCCAGTCTAGAATACGTGATTGTAAAATTGAATTCAGGTTTTTTCGAGGAGTAAGACGAAATCCTGATGCTGTAGGGGGCTAAGCCAATTAAGAACGAAATAATATGTGTGATTTTGAAGATAATTTGGTTTTTGTTCGAGTACATTGCTGAGAGAAAATGGGCTTGGATAAGCGTAAACGTTCCACTGGTGGCGATAATCTCCTAATGCATAAAGGAGTATTAGTATGATTTGAATTCATCAACAGAAATGTAGAAATGCAAGGAGTAATTTCGATAATGGATGGAAATACAGAGGACTATGGATTATCACTGATGACCCTTATTGCAATCATGAATGAATGTCAATGGTTTTATCTACCAAATCGATTCCGATGGTCTATTGCGGGGAAGACCGACCAATTTGTCGTTTGGAGTCATTCTTGAGAATATGATGACGACGCGTTCAACTTTCTATTACTTTTTGACCGAATGGCTGGTCACTCCTCAATCGGGTGGCTCAGTGAATTCCCGAATGGGATGATTTCCTGTGATTTTTTGAATGATTCCTATAATTTTTCAATAATAATTGGAAATCATGATTTCTGCTGATTTTGCGTGATTTTCACACGCGAAAAAAATTACTGTTCATCAGTAGAAAAAGTATAATACTTGTACTGAGTACCTGGCTGGTTCTTTTCAAAAGTACCAAATGAACTCAACGTAAGTACATAGAGGAAAAAAGTGGATTAGCTTTAGAAACTAGTTTCTAGATTTTAGAAAACTGAAGATTAGAAACCACTGTTTCTAAAATTTAGAAACAATAATAATAATAATGCCAAATAATAATAATTTCGCATACCAATAATTCTCGTAAGCATCCACAAAAATCGCAATCTGTTGGTTTTTCCTTACAAAATATCTTCTGCTAAATATTTCTCTTTATACAAATGCGCAAGAAATCTCATTCAACTCCAGAAAATAACTGGCCATGCTTTGCTGCTTCGCTATAAAAAAGATATCCTCATACGGTCACGCCCCAAAGTGCGAAAAATGTTGAACAACTTATGACCATCAGTATTCCCGGGATACCTGATGTCGTTTAACCTTAATACCAAGGATCTTTTGATAAGAGATCATTTCACACTCATTTTAATTACTGAAATCGTGATGACTTCATAATATATAATCGCCCAGTATTCTTAATGAATGAGTTTTTATAATCACCTAAATTGCCGTTATATGTAAATTCTATGTGTTCGTGTAGATTCGTCGTCATTTTTCCAGATTCAGTTGAACAGAACGGAGAGCGATAGTCCAGATACCAACGATAAATGAAATTGACGTTCGCATATCGAAACGATGGAGAATGATAGAAAGAAGATTAGTCTGGAAATACTTATATTATTTTTCAAGCTCATCGGTTTGTTTCCATTTGGATATAGTAGAAAAGAGAAAATACATAGTCCAAATCGGGATAATCCTCTCTGTTCCGCTGTCACTAGTGTAACGTATAATCTCATTCTAATCGCTCTTGTTTGTAGTTTATATATCAGAAAGGCTGTCGTGAATCCAAACTCATATGTGCAAAAGTTGATGGACGATCCTTTAACCGATATCGAAGTTAATCTTGCAAGTGTGGTGTTGGTAATTCTGTGGAGCTGTTTCCTTTTGAATCGTCATGACGTCGTTGAAGTATTTGACCAATTTTTGGAAATCGTAAAGCTTTTAGAAAATCAGCAGTCCTACTGGGGGAGGCGTAAAGAAAGAAAGTCTGTGCTTACGATCGCAGTGCATGTTGTTTTGTGGATCATTATAGCTTGGTTTGCGTACGATGCTTGGGATCCTACAGATTGGTGTTCTAGTGGCTGGTATTTTCTGTACATGTTCTCAAAATTTGTGATGACGTCGTGCATCTTACAATACACTTTGCTGTGTTATGCGATAAGAAATATGGCAGAATGTTTGAACACCATTCTGTTGAACTTCTATCAGCTAACTCCTCACCAACCGCATCCCAAAATTCTAGACTTCAAGAGCATCAGATTCATGTACTGCTCGGTGTGGGATTTTACAAGAGCTATCGACGGTATTTACGGGGTACCTATCCTGATCATCATTACATATCTGTGTTATGGAATTATTTACACTCTTTCCATGCTGACATTGAGCATAAAAGGCGGGTCAATCTTGTCAGCCCTGTACATGAATCGTCAATTCTACACACTCCACTTCACTATAGGAGTGGCTGTATGCATTTTAATATGGAGTACGACAGCAGCTATTAGAGAGGTACTTACGATACGGATAGTTTTTCGAGTGCCGAGTGACGAACATAATTTTTCTTTACAATGTCCATAAATGGCGTTAAACGAACAGTGCGATGAAGAAAAGAGAACCCATTCGGAAGCAAATTGTTAATTTATTAACAACAATTACTACTACACTCAGTTATTAAAAAAATGCCACTGTCCATTTGTTTATTTGCTCATTATTTTATTTGAACATCAGTTTCAGGATACTGGATTAATAGTTTACAGAATATTTCATCGATTAGAAGAAAATATACAGCTCCAGAAAGAGGTAATGTTGATGATGCTCTTTTACACGGGGAGAAATATCCAATAAAAATTACGTATCTTTTTCGTAATTCCGAAGCGAAATGTGGCTTTAGGAAATTTTACGGAACTGTCACTGAATTTTTCCAGAGCGTTCCGTAATTTTTTTCTGAATCTCATGTGAAAAATTACGATACCGTCACTTAAATTTTCTGAGTCGAGTCCGTAATCGTGAGGGTAAAACCGTTAGAACCGGGTAGAATCCGTGGTAGATTGATAAATCTCAAAAGTGGTGAAGTTTTTGTAAAATTTGATAGTATATACATAGTTATATTAGTTACATAGCGATATTGTACTCTAAAAATGGAAATTTCGTGAAAACATTTCTTATTTATTTCAAACAATTAATTAACAAATAATTTCTGATTTGATTCAAACAGTTATTGTTGCCTTCATAAACAACATATGAGCATAGAAAACTGATCAATTTATGAGATTGCAATAAATTAAGTCATTTAGAATTTTTCCTGGAAATCCAGAGACTAATTTTTGGGTGGCATTATCTTGAGATATACCTTAAGATAAATCAAATTTTAAAGTTGATTCGGCATGGTCCTCGATTACTATGTTCACATTGCAATTTTTCATTTTATATTCTCTCCATGTACATGAGCCTGAGCATCCATCAAACAATATGAGTTGTTCTAAACATGTTTTAACTTATTGAACTACTTGGGTGTAGCACAGTTTTGCTAGCGTTATCAATTTTTAATTTGAAGTAGAAAAAGGTGGTGGAGAAAATTTGTTGAAATTGTGCATTCCCAATCTTTCCGCTTATGAAAAATTTCCATAGACTTGCACCATACGAATCCCTATGGAAAGTCCTCTAAGATGATACTTTGGGATTTTTTCATCCGAACTGTTTTTTAGGTTCAAAGTTTTTCTCTCGAGCTTCTGCACCAACATCTGGAGTTCTCCGCCAATGGTTTCTTCAATCTGGATTATCCTTTCATTCAAACGGTGAGAAACATCGTGGAAACTTGTGGAAAAATTAATCATACGTGAGATTATTAAAGAATGTTTTCGATTGTGTAGGTCATCAGTGCAATTATTTCATATGGGATTCTCCTCGTGAACATCAGCAAATAATGTCTCAAGCATACGACATCGTACTATGAATGAGTCTTGTGGAATAATATGTACGAATTGATTCACTTTCCTAACGATTGTCAATTTTTATCAAAATAAATTATTTCTACTATACGCTGTCTGTTAATTCCGTCTGTTTGCTACATTGCACAACCTCGGTCAAGTGCCAGTAAAGTATGACTTTTTCCTGCGCACGCGTGACAGTGCATTATGTCACAAGGTCGATAATAGTATATTGCCATACAGGCGAAAAAAAGTAATTGTTAACGAGTGTGAGGGTCTGTGTGATTGCAAACCTCGCCTTCGGCTCGGCCTGTAATTGGACTCGTCAGAATAGTTATTTTCATCACGCTGTGACGAAAAGTGAACTTTTCGGCACGCTCCGCGTGCCTAAAAGTCCAATTTCCGCCACATTGTGATGAAAAATATTGTTCGTAACTCGTGAAAAAATGTTTTTTGCACTCTTTACGAAATATACTATTTCATCACAAGGTCCACAAAGAATTTTCTGATGAATGTGGCTTTATTGGCCGAGCCGAAGGGGAGGCCTATAATCACATTCGTCAGAAAATACTTTGTGGACCTTGTGATGAATGCAATTTTTCGTCAGAAGGCCCGTAAACCGCGATCTAACCGAGGTTAGAATCGCGGTTTACCGGCCCTTGTGACGAAAAGTACATTTTTTTATATGTATCGTAGGATATTTTATGATACAAGCGAGAAAAGGCGGTTTTCCCGCGCGAGCCAAGTGCCCTTTTTTCACTCACATCATAAAGTATTTTTCCATCACTGGGGCTAATAAACCGCGATTTCAATCTCGCTTCGCTTCTAGTAATTTTCGGTCAGTCGCTAGTCGATCGATGGTCGATGAATTGAAGATGATTCCCGAGTCGAGGATTTGGTTCTGATTGGACGTAAACAGGTCTTTCGAATCCTCAGTTCTTTTCGGCCCTGAGAAGTCCTCTATACTATCGAGACCTCGGGATTTGGAGGGGAAGGCATGTATGCGGAAGGTTGAAATTTGTAGCCAACGAAGAAAGAGGGTTGCAGAATATATTTTAGCCACCCTCATCTCTCCGTGTGCAGGCGGTGTTTAAATAAAAAATAGTGAACGTTGATTCTGTATTTATTGACCCTCTGATGCCAATGAAACCTTCGGAGGTGACAGAAAAGACGAAAAAAAATTTTTCATCACGCTGTGACGAAAAGTGAACTTTTCGGCACGCTCCGCGTGCCTAAAAGTCCAATTTCCGCCACATTGCGATGAAAAATATTGTTCGTAACTCGTGAAACAATGTTTTTTAGCTCGTTACGAAATATACTATTCAATTGAATATTCAATTGAATATTAATAAGTGGTGGATGTTAAACCCATTATATCTTCGATTCGTCTATTTCTATTGTATAATTAGAGAAATAATAATGTTTCACTCAAGAAATGATCCTGAAGATGAATAATCAAAATCAGAGATTTATATTTTTCGCGTGCGGGGGTATCAATATCTGTTCTCTAGTTCCCAATTCCTCAAGGATTACTCATAAACAAGCCTGTTATGATTTACAGTCACTCTTCTTGGTTTATTCCACTAGGATTATTATTGGAATCCGTTTTAAACGGGAGTGTTGACACCTTTTTTCAAATCAAATGTTAATATTTCCAGGAGGACAAATAAGACATAAGTCTCAAACAAAAGATCGTCGAGTAAGACATCTAGAATGCTTGGAATGCATGTCTTAATTTGAAAGACTAAAATTACTTAAATTTGGCGATACAAACGTCTTAAAAAACTGGACAAAAATGTCTTAATTTTAGACAGTAGTTTTTTAGTGTGGACGCAACGAATTGAAAATCCTTCATTATCCGTTAATGATTATCAATCAAATTCGAAAAAGAGTCGAGACATTATCACCAACAGGAACCTATTTTATCAGGCGTTACACAACGAATCCTGTATTCATTCGACAGATGGAACTCGCTGCGTTTCAACTTTCGTTTCGAATTTCAAAATATTAATTTTCTTCCACTTGAGGCAAAACAAGTGATCTTCTCTATTTCATCTTCGTCGCACTACTCTTCAAGTACATTGTTATCCCCATTCTTATCCCTACTTCACCCTCTGCACTACCCGAGGACGATATGTTCTGTGTAATAAACAGCGATTCTTTAGCCAGTGGAAGCAAGCCAAGATGAAGTACGAAAAAAATTTACGCAGCACTTAATTTTCGTCCTTAGGAGGTGTGTTATACACCATCCAACTTCCACGGCTTTCTCCTCCACTACATCGACCATTTATTAATTTCCCGACTCCTCCAGTTCCTCCCCATTCATTTATCGTTATCACTACACTCGAATTATAACAATAATCACGAGGCTCCATTCTATCCGTAAAAATGAGTGAATGGGAGGAAAAAGATGTTGAAGATAATGGGGACAAACCCAACTGAAATTTTCAGGAAAAAAAATAAAAGAATGTGGAAAGAGGGAATTGGAATGAGATGGGATCTTCACACGGCTTCTCATCTCGTCATCTCGTTATTTGGTGGATGGCGCGTGCGCGAACCGACTCAATAAACATCTGCAGAAGACCCCGGTAAGCCCTGGGCCAGGGCGCTGGATTACCTCTCACTGTACTTTCCTCTATTTTTCCAGATGCAATACCACTGTTCCTGTGGCTCTTGCCACACTCATACCCCTTTCTTATCGCAAAACGTTGGATGAAACTTGTCACCATCTTCTTAACGCTCGAGAATTTTTCCTTGAGAATTTTCTTCATTGTATTTTCTTTTTTCATGAATTCATTGTTTTCAACTTATATGATACGGGATTGGTTGCACCATCAGTTTCTGGTGGGTTTCCCAATCGTAGCGGTGAGTATGTAGCGGAGATTGGTACCACAAGCCCAATTACGTTTTCAATATTTTACAACGACAATTTTTTTGTGTATTCCATAATATCGTATGGAATTTGAATCGTGTGGAATTTGAAATCATTCATCTCCTTTTGTTTAATAAGAGAAAAATGTTGGTGATAAATTGAAATTTCATGGTATTTCATGCCTTCACTTTTTTCTTGAGAACGAACAAGTTCTCAAACAAGTGATGTTTGAGCCAACAAACCATTAGTTGAAAATGACCAAAAAATACTTGTTTGATTCGAATTTGAAAGTCTCAAGCATGAATAATTGCTCTGCTTTCAACAACAACGAAATGCTTAACTCCAGAGGCGGATCATTCATAAACGACGGGGCCTTTTCAGGATCAAAATATCTTTTATGGAGGGAAGTTTATCAAGAAATATTTTATCCCTAAGTTACAAGATCGCTGTCATATCATTATTATTATTATTTCATTTAAGAATTAATTTTTCATCTGTGATTATTGAATAGCCGAAAGGACTAACTACTATTCCTCGTTTCATATAAAACGAGCATTTGCCGGGAACAAAATACGCATAGGAGCCTCGAATAACCAAGAAGAAGTGTTAGAAACATGTCTTTCTTGCACAGAGAATCCATTTTTTTTTGAAAAGACTAAATCTATTTTCGCAATAAATATTTTCAGGCGCATTGAAATAGTATATTTTGATACGAGTGCGAGAAAGTGTTTTTTGACCCGTGGGAGGTGCGTAGCGCTCGCCGAAGGCGAGTGCTGCCCTCTCAAGGGTCAAAGAACACATTTCCCACGAGTGTCGAATCACATTTTCCACTGCAGTGTGTGAAAAGTGAAATTTTGCGCGCGGAGCATGCGTCAAATTTTACTTTACACACAAGTGAAGAAAAATTATTTTCTTCATCTAATTTACTTGATTTATTATTCACCCCTTCAAATTTTTCCATAAACGATTCTGTGAAATTAATTATCTGCAGTTGTATTAAATTGTAACGAGAGTTATTAATCAATTTTAATCTAACATTCAGGATTTTAATTCTCTAGTT